GTCCACTGTGTTTTCTGAAGTCCACAGTCAACGCAGCCATCTACCAGGAAATTTTAGAGCACTTCATGCTTCCTTCTGCTGACAAGCTTTATGGAGATGCTGATTTCATTTTCCAGCAGGACTTGGCACCTGCCCACACTGCCAAAGGTACCAAAAGCTGGTTCAATGACCATGGTGTTACTGTGCTTGATTGGCCAGCAAACTCGCCTGACCTGAACCCCATAGAGAATATATGGGGTATTGTCAAGAGGAAGATGAGAGACACCAGACCCAACAATGCAGATGACCTGAAGGCCGCTATCAAAGCAACCTGGGCTTCCATACCACCTCAGCAGTGCCACAGGCTGATTGCCTCCATGCCACGCCGCACTGATGCAGTAATTCATGCAAAAGGAGGCCCAACCAAGTATTGAGTGCATAGAAATTAACATACTTTTCAGAAGCCTGATATTTCTGTTTAAAATATACTTTTTTTTATTGATCTTATGTAATATTCTAATTTTCTGAGACACTGAATTTTGGGTTTTCATTATCTGTAAGCCATAATCATCAAAAGTTTGAAGAAATAAAGGCTTGAAATATTTCACTCTATGTGTAATGAATCTATATAATATATGGGTTTCACTTTCTGAAAGAGTGACAAAAAATATTGACCTTTTTCATGATATTCAAATTTTTTAGATGTACCTGTATTTACATGCACAATTTTTGGTTCATTCGGACTGAATTCATTTCGATTGATGAATCTGATTGTAATGTTTACATGAACGCTAAATAAAGTGACAAGCTTCAAATCGGAATTGTTTTTTTTTTACATGTGCACACTGCACAAATAGCAGTGTAATAAAGCTCATCCTAGACTTGCTGTCATAGCTCCGTAACCTAAACCTGCTCAGGAGCAGCTTATTTCATGTAAACAGGATTAGATCACATCTTTTTAAGCAGAATTGACACGTAAAATCTGTCCCAACCACTGCTACTTTATTACAAGAGTACCCTATTGGTCCAGGGACAATCATTTAAAATAATAATAATTTAAAAATTATGAAATAATGACTTTATAACTGTATTGGAGTCTTGCACACATGCTATACAGTTAATCTGAGTCGTGCATTAATTTGAGCGGTGACAGCTATTATGGGAGTGGCTTGATGGAGCCCTTTGACCTTTAAGAAACTTTAATTAATGCTGTCACCTAAGAAATCTGCTTCAAAGATAACATTAAATGAATTACTAATTACAACATTGAAATAAAAATGTAAAGCCTGTACAAATACTAGAAATCATAAATATAAATAATTGGGAATCAATAATCAATAATAATCCTATTTCCAATCTCCAGTCTCTAGCAGCTTGTCTCCTTCTCCAAGTGTCATGTGTTCGCCTTGTGAGAAAAGTAAGGAAAGTTGTTTATCTAAACATTAGTGACTGTAAATGTGTGTGTGTGGCATCTTAGCTGTCTGATCCTCCTGCTGCTGCATCTGCCACACATACTAGTAAGTCTATCTCCATGTGACTAGTAAGTCAAATCTCAAATAACTGCCCTGATGACTTGTGTTCTACCCGCTTAAATGATAGAAGTACTTGTGCTGTTCTCAGAATTCCTTAAAAAATAAAAAGCCTGTGATTTTCTTAGACAACTAATTATTTTACTTGAACAAAAAAAAAAATCATATTCATGTAAAGAAATGGGCTAAAGCTAAGCCAGATTGGGAACATTTTATAAAATAAATTTAGAAATTAATTATTATGCTAAATGCTAAAAAGACAAAGAACTATGTCACTTTAATTTGGTTAACTAAATGTTAAAACATTTTTATTCCTGGCATATATATATATAATTTGTTTTTGTTCTATGCACATGCACTTCATCATCAT